TCCTTCTCTCTATATCCTCTCCATTCTCTCTCTACAACGTTGCTTGTCGTTGTGAGCGTCGACGCAGCAAGCGTAGTAGTAGGCGCTGTGAGCATATGTTAAATGCTACTGATCACGTGTTCATTTGTACATGTCACATGTCCCTTATTACAAGTCATAATTTCGTTGTCAAAGTTCAACGTGCACTTGCTACGTGTCACATGTCAAAAGTCTTTGTACAATTGCCGAGGTCATTGATGTATGTTCACATGTCATATGTATCAATTCATAGGTCACAGATCATTGTACATAAGTCACAAATCGATATCTACATGTCACATATCAATTACATATGGGGTTACATTTCAAGTTCACATGTCATAGTGCATAAGTAACAAATCGATGCCCACGAGTCACGAATACAAGAGAACTGGTCACGGGCAATTAGATCAATATCACAGGTAACAGTTTACAGGTCACATGTAACAGTTTACAAGTCACATGCATTAAGGGATTAAGTATTGTACATATCATGTCACATGTAACAGTCTACATGTCACAGATCAATTATATATGGGGTTATATATATCACCTTGCTTTTGAATGTTTAAAGCTTATTTTTTTTAAATTGAAATGGCAAATACCTTATGTATTGTTCCTTTTTTTTTTCTTTTTTTATTAACTTAGAATGTAATCTAATGTTCACACACACCCCAAAGTTGCGTGGTTATTCGCACTCGGTTGGAAGCTCGGCCCAACATGGATCTGTGGCCCACTTGTATTGAATTCAGGCCCAAACTTTAAAACTAGATTATTACTATTTAATTTGAGAGAGTAATTTGACAAATTTTAGAAGTGCCTAGTGAAGAATGTAAGAGCAAAATCTCATAGAATCATAGACCTGATTTTCAGTCCTTTTCAAAGGAATAACAGTGAAAATTAAAAAAGAGTCAAAGTCCAAAAATCAGCTAAACTAAGTTTTGTATAAATAAGTTCTGACGGGTTGTCGAGGTAAATTTCACGACAAATGAAAATGAAATAAATATATAATATATACTAGTTTGGGTTACTTATTTAATCAGATTGATCTTTTAAGATATAACTTCAAGTCTTAATATCGTATTAAAATTCAAACGAGCTCCACATCAAACGAAGCTGAAATATCACATAAGGGGCCAATATTGATGTTTTCCCATGATTCAGATTTTCAAGTCTTAATATAGCGACAATTATTCAGGTAAATTAGTTAAATGTAAAATATATGGGCATAATCTATATTTTTCGACATTTTCTTAACTTGGTAAAAGAGAAGTTATACAATTTTATTCTATTCAACATTTTAATGGAATCAAACTATAATAGGACAGATGAGTTTTTCGATAAACAAAAAAATTGAGTCAGAATTGATTTTTGGAAAATGCTAAGTGTACATAATAAATGTACACAATGGATGACATAATGTGATGTGGCAACCATCATGTCGTTGATATGAAAATGTCGGGTTTGAATTAAAGGTGTTGAATAATGCCACTTGCAATTATGTTGTTTAATGCCTGATTTTATACAATTACCACTTTATTTAATTTGAGAGAGTAATTTGACAAATTTTAGAAGTGTCTAGTGAAGAATGTAAGAGCAAAATCTCATAGAATCATAGACCTGATTTTCAGTCCTTTTCAAAGGAATAATAGTGAAAATTAAAAAAGAGTCAAAGTCCAAAAATCAGCTAAACTAAGTTTTGTATAAATAAGTTCTGACAGGTTGTCGAGGTAAATTTCACGACAAATGAAAATGAAATAATTTTTCAATATATACTAGTTTGGGTTACTTATTTAATCAGATTGATCTTTTAAGATATAACTTCAAGTCTTAATATCGTATTAAAATTCATTAAATTCAAACGAGCTCCACATCAAATGAAACTGAAATATCACATAAGGGGCCAATATTGATGTTTTGCCATGATTCAGATTTTCAAGTCTTAATATAGCGACAATTATTCAGGTAAATTAGTTAAATGTAAAATATATGGGCATAATCTATATTCTTCGACATTTTCTTAAAAGAGAAGGTATACAATTTTATTCTATTCAACATTTTAATGGAATCAAACTATAATAGGACAGATGAGTTTTTCGATAAACAAAAAAATTGAGTCAGAATTGATTTTTGGAAAATACTAAGTGTACATAATAAATGTACTACAAGTGTTCTACATCAAGAAATAGCGATTTTACATACAAAGTGAAAATGCTAAGTGTACATAATAAATGTACACAATGGATGACATAATGTGATGTGGCAACCATCATGTCGTTGATGTGAAAATGTCAGATTTGAATTAAAGGTGTTGAATAATGTTACTTGCAATTATGTAGATCATTATGTACTTGTAGCATCACTCTTGATTTTTTGAGCTCTTGATTGCGTGAGATTCTTGGATGAGTAAGTCTTAATGTGTACTCTTGTGTACATTAAGACTTACACTTCTCTCACAAAGGAGTGTAGGAAAAAATTGCGGACCCCCCACCATTGTGAGAGGCGTGTAATGCATGGATTATAATTGAAGTTATAGCCCATGTTTGACATTCATTCTCTTTCTCATTTTTTTCTCCTTCTCCATTTCAACCACATTTTATCAATGAAATAATATTACACATAAATCCAAAAATTCTTCTTACATTTTAACCACATATTCTTTTCATCAATCACTATTCCAAAATTTATTTTTCTTCAAAATGAGTGTTAAACACACCAATTTTTAATATTTGTTTAAAATTAAAAAAAAATTAGATTTCTTGCACGGATACTCAATTCTTGCTCAAACCTTGACAGTTGGCAGTTAGCGATTGGCTTTGAATTTAGACAACGTTGAAGCCACGTAGCAAGAAGATTTTTGTGGAAAAGTAATAAATAATTGGTTGAATCTCGTTGTCGCATTGCCGTCGTCTTTAAACAATGGCAAGCCCCACTGCGCTGTGTGGCCGTTTTATCCATCAAATCCCAGGCTGGTTAGTTGAAAATGTTGCAGCTTTACAAGACCACCACGTTGCACTGTATTCCACATTTTCTTCTTGTAAATGGGAACTAGAAAATCAATCTACTTATCCAGAAATATTTTGACAGATTATTTGATGTTGAGTTGACATGGACCGTGCCCATCAAAGGAAAACCCACTTGCATAATTCTTTTTGTACATTATGAGTGCCATAAAGTGTCATGTATCTATTATGGACACCATTATGACACCTTTAATGTACTTGTAGCACTTCCCAACCCACTTTTATAATCATTAAATGATTGTAAATCTTACAACCTCCTCTCACATTAGTGTGGAATTAATTTGTGAGTCTCACACTAATGTAAGAGGTTGTAAGATTTACAATCATCTAATGATTGTACACCAAGCACATTCCGCCCATCAATCCTTCGAAACATCTTTCAAAGAAATTGTCAAAAAAATACAAGTAGCAGAGTTGAAAAAACTAAGCTCATATTTGGTACACATTCTTTTAAATACATTATATCAAAACTCATTTTCAATCACATATTTTTCAATAAAATAATATTTTTCATCACATCAATAGTTTTTCCTTACTTTTTAACAGTGTTCTAAAAAGCGTGGCTAGGCCTGGAGACCAAGTTTCAAGCTTTACGAGTCTAGGCAAAACTTAGGCGTAAAAAAACGTTTTTCATTTTAAATTTTTAATCGTCGTAAAAACATTCAACAATTTAAATAATACATACTAAATATCTAAAATTATAAAATACTATATTTACTTAATAATTTTTACATAAAGATAAGTTTCAAAATCATAATTACATAACGTAGATAACTCGTAGCTTAAATCTTATATAATCTAACTTTTTATTGGACTCCAATTCCATATCTTCTTCTTCATCTAATTCGTCATCCGTATCGTCTGATACGAAATCATCATTATCGGGCTCCTAATGTTATACATACCTAATACCCAAATCAGTGCAGTGTGTGGAGAAATTGAGAGGTTTTGCGCTATTCTTCCGTCTTTTTTTCCCATCCTTCCGTCTTCTCAATTCTTTGGAGTTTGGGCTGTGAGTTTTATTTTTAAAAAAAGAAAGGAAAAATTGGGCCCCCTTAAAATCTGGGCCTGAGAAGGAGGCACGCCTAGGAGTCCCCTAATAACTAGGCACGCCTAGGGACGCGTAGGCGAGCATTAAGCGGTCAACATTGTCGTTGACCGTTTAATTCTCGCTTAGGTTCAAGGCAAAGCGTTTTCATCACACTTCCTGCCTAGGCGCGCTTTTTAGAATAGAGATTTTTCTAACTTTTCAATGTGTAGCGATTATGGATCGTAACTCTTAAAAGGTGAGATTTTGAATTTTCAATCTATTTTAGTTCGTGAATTTGAATCGTTATGTGAATGAAAACAATCGATTTGAACATTGAAATTATGCGGGACTTTCAATTGAATTTGAAAGAAATACTACGTTGTTTGACTATTTTGCATTTCATTTTTCAAGTAATTATGTCCCTCTAACATATTTTTGCACCCAATATGCAAATCTTTGCTCCACCAGTAGTTAAAATGGTGGTGGCTTTTACAAGGAGATCGAGATTAATAAAATTAAATGACTTTCATGTGCAATTTTATATTTCATATTGAAGGTCTCCTGAGGGCCTACTATATCCACTTTTGACAATTGGAAAGCCAAAACCACATTAATTAGAAGATTAGGGAGCTTACCTCTAATTTTCTCTGAAATTTAAAACAAGAAAATATGTTTAGCAAGATTGACCAAAATTATTGGGGTTAATTTGAAATTATTAAAACTTTATGTCCTCATTTTGTTATCAAAGAAAAAGCAGGCCAAGCTAAAAGCTACTAAACAAAAATGTCCATTTAAAAATTCAAACCCCCATCTCTACTCCTTTACTGGTAATTTACAAATTATTCCCTATATCATATTCACGCATCCTAATTTATTCTCTCTGCACCTCCCCTTTCTCCATTCTCCACCGCCGACGCCGGCGAAATAAAATGGCTAGCTATGGCACCATCCCTACCTCCTCCTCGCCTGCCGGCAACCCGGTGAACCTCGAGTACATCTCTCGTGCCAAGGAACGCATCAAGGATGGCCTCGCCACTCGCCGCCCCTGGCGTGAGATGTTCAATTTACACTGCTTCAATCTCCCGTCCACCTCCGGCGCCTTCTCTCGAGTCAAAACGAATTTAGCATTCTTCCGAATGAACTACGCAATGATAGTTCTGTTGATTCTGTTTCTGAGTCTCCTCTGGCACCCGATTTCGCTTATTGTTTTCATTGTAATGATGGCGATTTGGCTCTTCCTCTACTTTCTCCGCGACGAGCCGCTTGTGATCTTCGGCCGGATGATTACCGATCGTGTGGTGCTCATTGTTTTGTCGTTGGTCACGATTGTTGCTCTACTGTTGACTCACGCCACTATCAATATTCTGGTGGCGCTGTTGGTTGGAGTGGTGGTGGTTCTGATTCACGCCGCCGTGAGGAAAACGGATGATTTGTATGTTGATGAGGAGGCTGCCGGCGGTTTGTTGAGGTCTACTGCCGGTGGTCCTTCTTCGTAAAATTGATTTTTCGTATTTCATTTTTTGAGTTGTTTTGTACTTTCAGTATGTGGTCTAAAGTGATTGTTTGTCGTTCACTTTGGGTATTTCTGTAATTTGATGTACGTGTGAATTGTGCTATTAACAATCTTTTATCCCACATTTTGGTAATAGACTAATAGTTCCAAGTGATTCCAATACCAGCAGCGGAGAGTAGAGCTAAGTCTCTCGTTTTCCGTTTGGCGTGAGAGTTAGTACACTAATTTTAGAGAGTGATCTATACAAGGTACAAAGCATAAAAAGACCAAAAGGATGTCATAATTTACAATAATTGTTGTAAAGTCTTTACATAGATATCTATCAAGGACGTGTGACAGAATACGTCATAAAATTTTTGAGTAGTATTGAAGGACGCGTGATGAAATATGGTGACAGATTTGCTTTGAACGAGGTGACCACTCTATAAAAACGTTGGGTTGGGCTTGCCCATGCTCGCCTCCACAATTGCTTCCGTGGTGGAACGGTTTCTTTCAAATGGGGAATGAATTGGTTAGTCTTATGGCTTGACGAGGATGTGACCCACAGACAGGACCGGCCCTGAGGTGAGACGAATGAGGCCGTCGCCTCAGGCCCAAATCTGGAAGGGGCCTAATTTTTTGGCCCAAAATTTTTTTTTTGACTAGGCCCAACTCTGTAGAAATGAATTAGCCCAATTCTAACCTAAAGGCCCAACTCGACGTCTCACCCTCTCTGGCTCTCTCCTTCCCGCTCGCTCTCGTCTCTCAATCTCAAAATTTTCATTCATCTCTTCCAACTCAATCCACCAAGGCACCAACCAATCAACTGTTCTTCAAGGCTCAAGCCGACGCCGGACTCTCCTCCAGTGCAGTCTCCTCCTCTTCTAGTCTTCTTCTTCCTGCCTTAAACTTTTTCCCTTTCGAGACAAGTGCGAACTGTGAACCATTTCGTTTTTTTTAGTTCCGTTCGCCGCTGGTTCGATTAAGGACTGCTTCGTACTGGTAGAGTGGTAGTGGACCAGTGCCCAGTGGTAGTCCCAAGTCAGCGACGACATGGCGTGAGCGTGACTGCCTGCGTGAGTTCTGCTGGTAAGTGCCTAAGTGGCTTTAGGGTTTGTTTCATTATCTAATTTCAGTTTTGTGGCTTATGTGAAATTGTGATTTGTCTAATTTCAGTTTTGAGCTGCTTGTCTGATTTCAATTTTGTGGATGTTGTGATTTGTCTAATTTCATTTTGGAATGCTTGTCTAATTTCAGTTTTGTGGCTTATGTGATTTGTGAATGATTCAATTTCAATTTCAGTTTTGAATGATTTGTGAATGATTCAATTTCAGGCTTGTGAGAACTTAAATGTGCAACGCTGGATGCTGGAATAGGGCGTGATTCCACAATTTTCGTGAATTTTCTACTTCTCAAGTAAGCAATGGCTTGCTCTAACTTGATATTGAAAATGTTTGAAGCCTTGTCGGCTTATATAATTGTGGCCTTGTCGGCTTGTATGAATGCTCATTGTAGCGTGTAGGATCAATTGCACAGGCGCACATAATTACTGTATTGAATACTTTAATTGTGAGATGATTGAGATATTTTGTAATTGTCTTTTAGGTTAAGTATTGGGCATTAGATATTTGAACATACGTCATGCCTCCTAAATATGAGTCCGGAGCTATGAAGAGAAAAAGGAAACGAAATGAACAGTTGTTGACTCAAAGTCAAGCAGGCGCTATGGACAAGTACTTTAAAAGCAGCAATGTGAATGAGTTGAATGAGGATGAGGATAAAGAAGTGACAAAACCTTCTTGTGTTAATGAAGTAGATGAGAAGGAAGAAGAGGGCTCATTTTCTTTGAATGTGAATGAAGTGGATGATAAGGAAGAAGAGAGAAGATTTTCTTTGAATTTGGATGATCCTGGGAATTGGAAAAACATTGATCAGAGAACGATAGATTATTTAGTTGAAATGGGTCCGAAAAGAGTTGATGGCATCGTGTTTCCCAAAGATAGTGCAAACAGACATTTTGATTCTTCACAGTATATGCGATTACTACCAAATGGGCAAACAATTGATAGAAGATGGCTAGTGTATTCAGTATCTATGGACAAGATCTTCTGCTTTTGTTGCAAGTTGTTTAAAACACTAAATAATGCCATCAGAATCGGCCAACTGGGTAATGAAGGATTCAGAGATTGGCATAATTTGCATCGTTCTATTAAAAGTCATGAAGGGAATGAGGAGCATTTACGTTGCATGACGAGGTGGATTGAATTGGAGAATAGGCTTCGGTCGAAAACTACAATAGACAAAAGTCTTCAATTGGTGATAGACGAAGAAAGAGAACATTGGAGAAATGTATTAACCAGGATCATCGCTATCGTCAAAAGACTCGCAAAAAACAGCTTGCCATTTCGAGGAGATAATGAGAGGCTAGATGCTGAGAACAATGGCCTATTTTTACAAATGGTGGAAATGGTTAGTGAGTTTGATCCAATAATGCAAGAGCACGTTCGGCGGGCTAAAGCACGCGAGATTCAGTATACATATCTTGGCAAAACAATTCAAAATGAGTTGATACAGTTGTTGGCAAATGAGGTGAAAAGTTTAATTGTCAAGAAAATTCAGCATGCAAAATATTTCGCGGTTATACTTGATTGTACTCCAGATGCTAGTAACGATGAACAAATGTCTTTAGTAATACGATGTGTTGACGATACGACAAACTTACCTACAGTCGAAGAATATTGGCTTGAATTTTTGAAGGTAGATGACACAACAGGGCTTGGACTTGCAACTGAGCTTCAACAGGTTTTGACCAAACTTAATCTTGATGTTGATGATATTAGAGGGCAAGGGTATGACAACGGATCTAACATGAGCGGGAAGCACAAAGGTGTGCAAAGAAGAGTCCTTGAGGTGAATCCCCGAGCTTTCTATACTCCATGTGGCACTCATAGTCTGAATCTAGCATTGTGCGATATGGTGTATTGTTGTTCTAACGGTGTATCCGTTTTTGGAGTGATACAACGCATCTACACATTGTTCTCCGCTTCTACCAAACGGTGGAAACTTTTCAAAGATAATGTACAAGGCTTGACAGTGAAGCCATTGTCACAAACACGTTGGGAAAGTCATGTTGACAGTGTGAAGCCTGTAATGGAGCAAACTGCACAAATAAGAGATGCGTTACTTGAATTGGAAGTAAGTAACGAAGAGGCTAAAATAAGGAGTGAAGCAGGGTCGTTAGCAAAGAATGAGCTGTCTAGTTTTGAGTTCTTGCTTGCATTGATTATCTGGTACAGGTTGTTGCGTGCAGTCAATATTGTGAGTAAATTTCTTCAAACTGAAAATATGGACATTGATCATGCTATCGACCTCTTGCAAGGGCTTGTTTCATTTCTTGAAGAATATAGAGAAACTGGATTTGCTATTGCCATGGATGAAGCGACAAAGAAGGCAAACGAAATGGGAATTGAAGCTGTATTTCGAGAAAAACGTATAATTCGAAGAAAAAAACATTTTGATGAAAGCGAAAGTAATGAAATAAAGCAATCGGCTGAAGAATCTTTTAGAGTTGAATTCTTTGTTTTTGTAATAGATCAAGCTCTATCTTCTATGAGGACTCGATTTGAACAATTCAAACAATATGACGACACTTTTGGGTTTTTGTTCAATTTGAAGAGGTTAAGGGATGAAAGTCCTTCGAATTTGCTGAAATCTTGTATGAATCTTGAGAAACAATTAGAACATAATGGGCGTTCGGACATTAGTGGAGATGATTTATTTTCGGAATTATTAGTCCTGCGGTGCTATATACCAAATGCAGCAACGAGAGCAATTGAAGTGCTACGGTATTTGAAGACATTGGGTGCTTGTTTCCCAAATGCTTATATTGCTTATAAAATCTTGTTAACCATACCGGTTACAGTTGCATCTGCAGAAAGAAGTTTCTCCAAATTAAAGTTGATCAAGACTTACCTCCGATCAACTATGTCACAAGAAAGATTGAATGGATTGGCTATGCTATCAATAGAGAAAGATATGGTTGCACAATTAAATTATTCAGATTTGATTAATGTTTTTGCCTCTAAAACAGCGAGACGAATAGTATTTAACTGATTGTTTGAACTCTTGTCGGTTTTGTTACTTTATAATATATATATAAATCTTTTATTCTTTATATTTGTTTGTTATTCTACACGTTAGTGTTAAGTTTGCAATACGTTGCATAATGCACGGTTGGATTTTGAGTTTACGTTGATCTCCGGGGGCCCAATTTTCGGACTCCACCTCGGGCCCCGCCGATCACAGGACCGGCCCTGCCCACAGATAGAGGAAGTGGAGAGAGAGAGAGAGCGAGCTTGACCACTCATCAGGATCGACCAGCCTTGGCGAGGACCTGGCAGGCCAGCGAAGGAAGGGTGGTCGAGCTCAATTGGCACTTGTAGGGGACGGGTGGGCGGCCAAATTCTTCATTGAAGTGACCAGGTATAGTGTAAGCGCCTATGTTATTATCCTTCATCTGAATTTGCAGTTACTCAAGTTGGTTAATAATTAAAGTTAGCTAAAAATCACCGCGGTATAGAGTCTACTACCAAAATCCAGGGAGGTTTTACCCTGAACAAGATTCCTTTGGCATGTACTTTACAGCATCATGAAACAGTATTCAAGAAAATTCCTTTTCAAGCAGATTTCGGGCTTCTTCAGAACAATATCCAAAAGGAAATTCCTCGAAATTTTTAATTTATAGCACTACTAAGAATAGTTTTGGGGATTCAAGCTCGTTGCATAATGCACGGTTGGATTTTGCGGTTACGTTGATCTCAGGGGGCCCAATTTTCGGACTTCGCCTCGGGCCCCGCCGATCACAGGACCGGCCCTGCCCACAGATAGAGGAAGTGGAGAGAGAGAGAGAGAGCGAGCTTGACCACTCATCAAGATCGACCAGCCTTGGCGAGGACCTAGCAGGCCAGCGAAGGAAGGGTGGTCGAGCTCAATTGGCACTTGTAG